TTAAGTTGTATATTAAACCAAGTCAAAACTTATGCTTAAATAACTCATCATGTATTTTATCTTTAATGCCAGTTCTGAGCCCCAGCCTTCCTTATCCTGGACCTCAGAACCTGCTGTTCATCCTGTCCATATGACAATGAAAATCTGCTCTTTTTTTTTTATACAGTGGGCTTACCTAACAAAAAAGTCCAAGAAGATCTAATCAACAAAAAGGGAGATAAGTTTTCTTTATCTTTTTAACCTTCCCAGCTACTTCTACAGCTTTGTGCTGCCAGCCATCTCTGGTTCAGTGAATCCCCTCCTCATGAGAGGAAAATTTGCTTAATGCATTTTCCTGAGAAGTACTATAATGTCCGTGCTATAAGTTAGCCTAATTTGTAAAGAAAAGAGGAGAAATTTTTGCTGGACTTGCTGATTTTCAACACTATTCAGCAAAGATTTCCTGAGCCAGGAAGAAGAGTAAGATGTAACCTCAAGTAGTTTTTGCCTTGAAGTGCCAAGTCTAACTGCTAGTCCCCTCTCCTGAATGTCAAGGTCAGGACATAAACATTCTTTTTCCTCTCAAAGTGACTCCCCGTCTACTAACTTTAAGTTAGTAACTAACTTTAAGAGCTTTAAGCCATACTTTCCTGTTGACGAGGGAGACTGAGTAGCTGGCTGAGCAGCTGGCAGCAGTCCACTGATTGTCCAAGGTCAACCCAACACATTATTGGAAAAAAACTTTAGTCTTTGCAAGAGATCTTAGAACTATTTATTTAACTTCAAACAAAGAAATAAAACAAATAAAGATTTAGGAATTACCATGCCTGTCAGCGAAGACAATAATGACTTGGTAACCCTAGAATCCTTCCAAATGAAGCAATTAGGAACTATAAAAATAAAAATTCTACAGTCAAAAGACTCGTGCTTTTATTAAACCCATTTTGCAGCAGACACAGTGACCCAGACACTTATGGTTTATACTTGATTATAAAATAATTTTTTCATGAACATGAAAAATATTTCATTTGAAGCATGTCTGAATCATCTGGATTAAAATTTGATGTAAGGTTGTTCATATGGTAAGATTTATAAAGAAGTGATTAACACAGTCATGAAATGACCTTCTGGGTAAGTGATCATAATACAGTATGTTTAATTAATTCTTCCTTTTAAGATGTTGTACTGTGCAGCTGAAGAGAAATTAATCCTAGTGTTTTAATTAACAGGTTTTTAATAGGAAACTCAGTGGAATATACACATATTTGTTTTTTCTTGTTTTTTTTCTTTACATGATTGTGTACCAGTGCACATCCAGAATGCAACGTCACATTGATTTGTGATAATGCAGATATAGCTATACTCACTGATTAATTTCCTTATTTTGCTTTTAATTTTAAATTGCTGATTAAGTCACATGTAATTTATAGTTTCACAGTCAAAATAATTCCACTTGTTTGCACTGTATCTTCAGATTCTCTCAACAAAGGTTTACCTACCAAGCCAAAATTAAACCTGACATAGACTTTTATTCTCCTTTTATTTATTTAGATTATGAATACATTCCTGTATTTATATTTATGAAAACAAAGGATTCTGGAATCATATAAACAATCCCCGATTAAGACATTTAAAGTGTATCTTAGTGCTGAAAGATGACTATGTAAACATAGTCCCTTACTCTAAAGATCCATTCTCTATGTACATTAAATCTCAGGTTTGGCAGATTACAAAGTATAACATTTAGAGTTGCTTGTTTCTTTACAACATTTGCTGTACAATCTCAACAGTTCATTTTACAACCATTAACATTCATCACTACAGCCAATGAACGGCTAACCATTTAGACAAAACAGGTTTTCGATTCAGTAACTCAGGAGTAACTTTTAGTTTTGTGTTGTTGTACCTAATACTCAGTTACCACCAATGTACAAGCAATAAGCAGTAACAACGGTGATCTTGAGCAAAGAGCTATTCTACTTAGGTCTTTCAGCCACTGATTTTTTCAGTTAGTTCTGTAAACCAGGCCAGACTTTCCGCGTACAAAGACAGGATGTATGGAATGAGAATGATCAGACTGGAGAATTGAAGAGTTCACAGAATTTTGTAGCTAACTGTTTACCTAGGGACTTCATGATACGCTACGTAAGCATAGCATAACATAAACATTAAACACCAAAAATTCCAGGCCTGCATCTTTCAACATGAAAGTTTAATGGTATTTCAAATAAATCAGTATTTTTTGCAATGGAGTGTAAAACTAGGAAAAACTAATAACATTTCTGTGTGCTGGGAAGTGAGAGATTAAACTGATGTAAGGAGACAGTTTGTAGCTTTAGTATGTGTAAGTCATAGATCTGAAGGAACAACAGATGTCTGTTTATAAAGATCCTTTTGGGCAACAAGGATGATGTATACTATATATATAGTCGCTAAAGAGCAAATATAAGTGAAAGAACAGCAGCAGCTGATAGAATAGGAATAATAAGATCCTGTGTTGTCAAGAGGACCTAGTGGAACTGAGCAATATTGTTTCATGGAGCAATTAGCAGCCAGTCAAAGCAATTAACAAACCAGGGACTAAGCTAGGGATGGAAAGTTGTCACTGGGTCACCTGAACCTTTGATATGGTTTTGCTAGTCAGTGTGATTGATGACAACCAAACATACACAGAAGGCTACTGCAGAAGAGGGAATGCAGTCATCTTTAAAAGGTATTTTGTCAAAAAAAAAAAACAAACAAACCCAAAACCCAACAAAGCAAACCCAGAGAAAAGGAACTGTGTACTGTTGAAAAGTTGATTATTTGTTATTATCCTTTTGTTGCTTTTCTCCTCTAATACAGCACTGCTTTATTAATTCACTTTTAGGAAAAAAAAAGGTTTCTTGAATTCCCAGATCAGTTAGTTTTATTTTCCAAAGTATCTGGGGTAAGGACTTTAACCAAGGTTTATTAGTCTTACCTAGGGTTTAAGAACATCATTGTTGCTGCCAATTATTTTCTGACAGAAATCATTTTAACTGTGATCACTTTTTGAAAGAGTCCACCAAAGTTAGAAAGCAGTAGATTTTATCTTAGCAGTGTTGAGGAAAAGTTGTATTTTAATAGTTAATAAATTATTTTAATGTATTTTTGTTAAACAGGTATTTAAAATTAAATTAAATTATGAACAAGGTAAAGTAAATCCAAAATAAATACAATTATGGAATTCTTAAAATTTTAAGAGGTACATAAGCTGCCAAATTTTTAGAGCTACAGACATCAATGTCTAAAGACTGCTTTGCTTAGACATTAGAATTATGTAATAAGCAGAAAAAAACATTAAAAAAGTCTGATGAAAGTGAATACTTTTAAAATATTTTTTTATAAATGAAATGGAATATAGTAACAGTATTTGTCTTATCCCATTTAACATATTGTAATTTTTGCTCGCTTTCTATTCATATTTGGAAGTCTATATTTTAATTACTCTAGTCAATTATTAAAGTTTTCTCTGCACGTTAAAACACTTTTGAAATTCAAACCAACATTGTATAAAGATACATTGTTATGTATCTTTAAAGGGCCCTTGTCCATGATTAAAAAAAAAAAGCCGTTCCTAAGTGTACAAAATAACTGAAATACACCTATCTTTCAGAGTTAAACAAATTACTTTTGTCATACTGCTATAAATTCAGTACATTGAACACTAATATTTTGTAGTTCCACAGTATTTATTTTTACTATTTATAATTCCAAAAGTTGGTATTCTCAGACAATATAATTACCTTTTCTGTATTGTAGATAACATAAAACAAACAAAAAATGTTAAATATAAAAAAGCACCTATTGGCTATTTGAATTGTAATTGCTACAAAAAGTTTGCAAAACCACAAACTATCACAGAGCTACTTCGCAGGTTTGGATGTTTTCCACTTCATACGTGCTTCATGAATGCTTTTTTTGCTTCATCAGCCAGAAAAGCAATGTTTTGCTCTGAGAAGAACTTGTGTTGAAATCAAACTACATTCACTCACTTCTGAGCCTGCCAACATTGCAACTTCATTTTAAAGCCTTAGTTTAACTGCTATACCAAACACTTTGTGGATTAATTATTCGTTCAGACTTAGTCTAACTGGTACATTGCATAGCGGATGTCCAAATAGTGTCACTTGAAAGGGAGGAAAAAAAATCACAGGTCTTAATTAAGTGATTGCCAATGTATCACTAAATTTTGAGTAATGATCACTCCACTGGAAGTATGTGAACTAAAGTTTGTGGTGGTTTGAAGCAGGATATACAGCTATATAGATATTTCCAAAACTGTACTTATTTGTTCTGTGTAGAAAATACATTCCTCTCAGTTCAGTGGTGTCAATTGTACCTTTTCTAATCTTATGAATTATGTGGCATTTATCAAAGGCTGAAATGGGTAGGAAAAAACATTTTATACAGAAAGAATGAAGAAATAAAACAACTTGAGGCAGAGAACTATAAAAATTTCTGCAAGCTGAGTCCTATGACCCTACATGTTTTCAGATTGCTTAAGCTGGATATATCAAAAACATTAAGTATGAACTACTTATTCTACAGCATGCAGAGCATTTAAATGCCATCGTCATTTTAGAGAAATTTTACTGCATCTCTACCCACTAAATATTTTGTCATTAGTACTGCAAAAATGCAACAATCAACACTAAAGGCAACAGTGTCAGTCCAACAGGTCAGCAAAGTCAGTGGCTGAATCCAGAAAACATTTATTTTCTTTGCACTATGCAATCTCTCTTTTAATACCTTTCAGATGAATGTATGGGTGACTAAAGAAATCATAAATCAAGCCTTAATGTAAACAACATCTTGAGCTACTTAGCAAGACTTATATCAAAGTTCTATTTGAATTAATAATGATTTATCCTCCAAAAATGAGATGATTCTGTGCACTCTATTTTAATTATTATTTAGTTGAGGCCATTGCTATAAAATTAAAACCCTGTAAAACCTGTGAAACAGCTTTCTCCACTATGGTAGAGAGCGGACCGTACCTGTGAATCCAGGTGGACAGAAGCACCCATAGCCACCAAGTCTGTTGACGCAGCTTCCTCCATGCAAGCAAGGAAAAGTTTCACACTCATTTACATCCATCTCACACAGAGACCCATAGTACCCAGGTGCACAACTGCAGATGAATCTTCAGAAAAGAAAATAATCAGGTAAGTCAACAGAAGTAAACAACATGATCTACTCTAATATTGTGAAGCTGTATGTATGTCCTGACGTCAAGCTGGTGTCCCTAATCCTCATCTGTATCAAAATAATTAACAGACTGTTGTCCTGGGTTCGGCTGTAAGTTATTTTTCTCCTTCTTAGTCAACCTGGTGCGCCCCGGCTCCCCAGGGCTCACCATACTGATGCCGCCCTTAGCACAGATGCCCGTTCAGTGTAGCGCACTGCAGTCCAGAACTCCAGAACTTCTCATTTCCACATTTCTGAAGCAAGCACAGCAACGTATTCATTTTTTTAAATCACTAGAAAAATTGCGCACAATAATTTTAGCTGAAGGTATGAGGACTGACTTAAGGGTTAAAGTTCTTTTGACCTAAGACTCTGAAGAGTGTTGTGGAAAAAAACACAACGTACAAATTTTTCTCTTGATTACACTTAAGTTTTAGTAAACACACGAGAGAAGGTCATTGTCAGAAACTGAAAAGAGAGATGTACTACTCTAACTGATGATCAATTTTTCTTTATTTTAGTCCTTTTCCAAATTTATAAAGAAAAAAGAAGAAGATGAAAAGGTAAGGGGGGAAGAACAAATTGCACTGAAAACAGCTTCCCTTCTATTTTTCTTTCAGGTCACTTAAGAAACAAATATGTGAGTTAACAGCACTTGCCTACCTAATTTTAACACAGAATCATTGTCATGTGCTGAAGATCCCATCCAACCTCAGGGCAGTGAGTAGATTTTATACATAAGGAAATCAGAGAATTGTTTTTCATTTAGTAATAACTAACCTGTTTATGAGATCCAGGCAAGTTCCATTGTTTTTGCAGGGTCCTGATAAGCATTCATTTATCTCTGCTTCACAGAGTGTCCCAGTAAAACCGTGTTGGCAGGAGCACCTAGCAAAAAGGATATCACTCACCATGTTACTTTTTAGTTTAATAGAAAAAGATTTTGGGAAAATGTAGCAAATTTGGGGGAGTATGAATTAGGTGGTTCCAAAATCTTGTTTGATTTTTCTTCTGGTCCTTACAAAACTGCTTTAAAAAGCCTCACAAGTACAGGGACTGCAGCCCAGGAAATATTTTTTTTTTGCTATTATTAGTTGAAGGCCACAGCTTTTGTATTGACCCCACTGTGCAGGGGCTCAGAACTTGCCCTGGCCTGAGCTCCTTTTCACTTGTTTTGACACTTAGTCTGGAGCCAGTTGTCTGCTGCCTCTCATGCTTTAGCTTCAGCTCTGGAATTAGCAGAGGTGAGGGTGTGACACACTGGGGTAATCATGGTGTTACAAACAATAACCTTCTGAGTCCATGTGGGCTGGGGAAGCTGATAAACAATGCAAAGGAAGTAAATTGCCATAAGGAAACATACAAAAATAGCTCCCAGCAGGCCTGAGACTGAAGGTGAGAAAACCCTCAACCTTAAATTTCACACTTCTCCTGGCAAAGAGTCCCAGATACTGGTGACATGCAGTACCACTGCCAGTTCTTGAGGAAGACTGAAATCACTCCTCACAGGACACACACAGAAATTGTGACATTATAACAAAAGAGACAAGAGCTAGATAACTGCAAGATTTCCTAATATAACCATTATAACTACATTGTTCATGAAGCTGTTTTCTATTAGCTTCAACTCAGACTATTAGCATTATTGTAACTGGACTAACAACAGCTGTTTGTTATATTTTGATTAGATTCCTAAGATTTTAATTAACCCTACGACAGGTTCTTGAGTCCACCTGGATAGTGTACGTGTATGTCTTTTTGCCCAAAACATTCAGAGTGTAATGTAACAGTGTCAAACACACCACAAAAAAAGACATCACTGAAAGGCAGCAAACATAATACAGACAAAGTATGAGAAGACTAGCTAGATGATAAACATATGTGCATCATACTGAATAGCTGTCATTCAGATAATTTTCCTCACCTGTAATGGTTAATCCCATCCACACAGAGACCTTCATTCTGGCATGGATGGGAGATGCACTCATCACTGTTAATTTCACAGTAAATGCCCTCAAATCCTGAAACACAGATTATATTAACTGAATGAGTGAATCCTACTACATAATGCAAATACAAAAGTCACAGTTCCTCTTAGAGGTTTGGCTGCCTGAGCTCAGGGAGAATTTAGACAATGCACATGGCAGGCCTGAGAAACCTTATCTGCCCTTGAAGTTGTTCAAGAAAGAGCTGAGTAGTGACTACCCCTCCTCTTGGGGGCATCTAAGCTGAGGCTCTTGGTATCTGCGCTATGCACATGCTTAGTTATGTACCTGCTTATCTGGATGCTGACACTGGCCTTCAGACTAGCTCCCTGACTTGACCTTGGATCTGCCCTGTTCCTGTAGCCTTGACTGGCAGTCTGGTGTAGTATGGTGATCCTGGACACCTCCATTATCCCTGCATTGCTCACCTCTTTCAGATACTGTCAGACAGGACCATTGACAGTGAGGACCCTGCCCCGGCTGCCTTGGTAAGACTCCTGGCTTACCTTCACTTCCAGAGCAGCCAGCCCTCACTGCTCTCTGACTCCAAGGTCAGGGGCAGCAAGTGGATGCAATCCTTAAAGAATATTTTCCAATTATTTTTGTTCACCAAATTCATTTCAGGACAGTGTGAAAGTCTTAATATACTTTAATGAACCAGAAAGAGCAAATCTGGATGGAGCATCTGGCTAAATATACTGGGGTAATGTAACCCATTCTAAAGGACTGAGAAGGCTTTCTTGGGCACTGTGGGACAATGTCAGAAACTAAAAGCTAATTCAATAAATAATATATTACAGAGCATAATGGTAGTTACAGAGACCATATTTATTCAAAGCAGTCACTAGGTAAAAAAGAAACCCACACTTTTAACCGATTTCAGTGTTTAATGAAAAAAAAAAGTGATCAAGAGCTTATATCCAGAGTACATCACTTGCATAATACATTATGTTTGCCTCTGTAAACATCCCAGAATATGAGCTTAAGAGAAGTAAGACATTTTTTCAGTGTATAAGAACACTATTTCTGTTCTTCTATGGCATAAAACATGTTACATCATTCACATAAATAAATAAATAGTTGTGTTAAAATTATGTACAGTGGATAAACTATAACTACTTAGTTGAATTTTGCACAAATTGAATATGTTTTAATTGCTGTAGTAATGTATCAATTAAAATGAACAAACTATTTGTACTGTAGTGGCTATGATAAACATGATCACTTTTAGAAGACTGACTAAAGAGCATTCATGCTGCTCACCAAACTGCTTTTGAACACCATGTAGCTATCAAAATTAAAAAAGCTACAAAAAGAGCCACTGAAATTCAGTGTATATTATCATAAATAAGACAAAGGCTTTACTTTATTTCCTATTAAAACACGTAAAAAATTGGTATCAGTATTTTTTTAGATACTGAAATAAGGAGAGTAATGACTTTTATTGTAATATTATGTATTTGTGGTTTCCAAAGTACTTCATGGAAGTGGTCAAATTATCAATGATCATATTTATAATAATATGGCTTATGTTTTTCTAGATGCATTGGCTTTCTGTGGCAAGGTTATGGTAGTGGGGGGTGGCGTTACAGCTTCTGTAATAAGCTGCCAAAAGCTTCCCCTGTGTCTGATGGAGCCAAAGCCAGCTGGTGGGTCAAGACTGAGCCCATCAGCAACAGCTGTAGCACCTCTGGATAATAGTTAAGATGGGGAAGAAGTTACTGTGCAGGAGCAACTGCAGATGGAAAGAGGAGTTAAAGAGCCCTGCAGACATCAAGGTCAGTGAAGAAGGGCAGGAGGTGCTACAGGCACTAGACAGACATTCTCCTGCAGCCCATAGTGCAGATCATGTTGAGGCAGGCTGTGGCCCTGCAGCCCATGAAGGTTTACAGAAGAGTTGCAGATATCCACCTGCAGCCTGGGGAGGACACCATGCCGAAGCAGGGGTTTGCCCAAAGGAGGCTGTGACCCTGCAGGAAGCCTGCACTGGAGCAGGCTCCTGGCAGGACCTGTGGCCCCATGGAGAGAGAAACCCATGACGGTAATTGGTGAAGGATTTCTTCCTGTCCTTATCTCAACCCATAAACCTTTCCTTACATTTTCTCTTCCTTTCCCAGCTGAGGAGGGGAGTGACAGAGCAGCTTTGGTGGGCACCTGGCATCCACCCAGGGTCAACTCATCACATTACAGAAAATCATTACTGGAAAAGTTAAGCAGCTTGTTCAGAGTTGTGGGGAAAGCTGTGGAGAGAAATCTCTGCTGACACTCCAGTGTATGATCTAAACATCAACCCACATCAAAGCAGTTGGTGTTTTCGTCTTACCAGGAATTTTCTGTGCAAGAAGTTTTGTGTCTAGACCTGACTGAAATGAGTTTGCTGTGTTTGCTGAAGTTTTCAAAGCAAAGTTTGACTGCTATGAAGCTGGAAAACAAAACTTAGAATGTATCTCAAACTAACCCTTCAATTATAGTCATTTATATTCTTGTGATATTATTCTGGGGTTTTGGGGATTTTGGTGTTTTTTGTTATGTTTTGTTTTATTGGTTTGGGCACTTTTTTTTTTTTGAGGTTTTTTGTTGTTTTTTGTTTTTTTTTTCAGAAATATATTGAGTGTGAAATGATGCCCTTATTTATTTCCTGTTTGAATGACATTTCACAAACATTTTGTAAAAGAATTTCCATAATAGGGGACAAAAACTCTCTGACCCAGTGTACTGCTTGTAGTAGCTCCCTCAACACAGGCAACATTGTTATATTTAGTTTATTTTATGCACATGGGCTGGAGCCAGAATTAAAGATCCAAACATTTTTCTTATCTGTAACATGTATAAGCTGCATCATTATACTGCAGCTTGAGCCTTCATCTATATTTGCCTGAAGTTTAATTAAGGAAAAAAGAAAAGTAAATGGACTATAACTTTGGCTGTGTCAAGCTTGTTCAATGTTCAGTACTAGACCTGCTCACATCGAGTAGACATGCACACACACACAAGATAATCAGAAGTTGTTCTTTTGACACATGCCTTCCCGGTGCCACTGAATAAGATCAAAAAAGTAGTAACATGTTTCTATAACTCTGGTTTGATTAAGAAACTGGAGGACATAGTGAATGTGGGAAGCCACAACTACCATATGTAGCCACCATTTGTAGCCACCATTTGCAGCCACCTGCCTCATCTGTAATTTCTCATTTTTGGTAATGTTTGGTATTGCTGAAACTAAGTTCTGTTACAGAGTAGAAATCTATGTCAATGGGAAGGGGAAATGCGACTTCAGTGAAAAGTAGTACGCTGAAAGAGAAAGTAAACCTATGTAATATAAATGACCCCAAGGTATACAGGCAGATTTTAGTTTGACAAGGTGATCACTAAAGGGTGTGAAGCTAAGAAAGTAAAACAAAAAAATTGCCAACAAAACTTGTATGGAATAGATTCTTTTTTTTTTTTTTTTGTGGTACTATATACAACATTTGAGCAAGCACCTCTCATTAAAAAGCCCACCATAGCTGTCAGATTAAAATACACAAAAAGGAAAATGTGAGCATTCATCATTCTGCTTCTGCCTGCCATCCCCACTTGGCTATGGAAGTTTTATCATCTTTTTGAAGTAAATAGTACTGAAATTAATACATAGAGCATCATTTAGACACATTTTTGATTGCAGTAGTACACATTTTTTCAGCCCATAGCAAAATATAGCTACCTTTAAAAGACATAGAATCATAGAATCATAAAATTAAAAGACATAGAATCATAGAATTGTTAGGCATACCATAATCCTTAATTATATAGAATAGTTAGGGTTTGAAAGGAACTTAATATCATCTAGTTCCAACCCCCCTGCCATTGGCAGGGACACCTCACACTAAACCATGTCACCCAAGGCTTCGTCCAACCTGGTCTTGAACACTGCCAGGGACGGAGCATTCGCAACCTCCCTGGGCAACCCATTAGAGTGCCTCACCACCCTTCCTCCTTATATCCAATCTAAACTTCCCCTGTTTAAGTTTTAACCCGTTACCCCTTGTCCTGTCACTACAGTCCTGAATGAAGAGTCCCTCCCCAGCATCCCTATAGCCCCCTTCAGATACTTGAAGGCTGCTATGAGGTCTCCATGCAGCCTTCTCTTCTCCAGGCTGAACAGACCCAACTTTCTCAGCATATCTTGATACGGGAGGTGATCCAGTCCCCTGGTCATCCTCGTGGACCTCCTCTGGACTTGTCCCAACAGTTCCATGTCCTTTTTATGTTGAGGAGACCAGAACTACACACAATACTGCAGGTGAGGTCTCACAAGAGCAGAGTAGAGGGGCAGGATCACCTCCTTCTCCCTGCTGGTCACGCTCCTTTTGATGCAGCCCAGGATACGGTTGGCTTTCTGGGCTGCAAGCACACACTGAAGCCGGCTCACGTTCATTTCCTCATCGACCAGCACCCCCAAGTCCTTCTCCGCAGGGCTGCTCTGAATCTCTTCTCTGCCCAACCTGTAGCTGTGCCTGGGATTGCTCTGACCCAGGTGTAGGACCTTGCACTTGGCATGGTTAAACTTCATAAGGCTGGCATCAGCCCACCTCACAAGAGTGTCAAGGTCCCTCTGGATGGCATTCCTTCCCTCCAGCCTATCAACTGAACCACACAGCTTGGTGCCATTGGCAAACTTGCTGAGGGTGCGCTCAATCCCACTGTCCATGTCAGCGACAAAGATGTTAAACAAGACCGGTCCCAACACCAATCCCTGAGGGACGCCACTCGTTACTTGTCTCCAGCCAGACATTGAGCCATTGACCACAACTCTTTGTATGCGGCCATCCAGCCAGTTAAAATAAACAAACATGTAGCAGGCATGCTACTTTATCTAGTCTTCCTACAAATAGTGAAAAAGACCATTTTCATCATGAATTTTACTGTTTACCTATCACATTATGAAATAAGTAATCTATGAGTTCAATTTACTATTGAATATTGTGGGGTTTTAACTGACATAAATTAGCTTAGTTCTTTATATAAAAAAGTCTTTTTTTTCTTAATGACATACA